TAGATAATGATCAGATTGAGATAGATAGATAGATAATGATCAGATTGAGATAGATAGACAGACAGACAGACAAATAGGTAGATAGATAGATAGATAATGATCAGATTTAGAAAGTTAGATAGATAGATAGATATGAAACAATAAATGTTAAGAAAACGTAAATAATCAACAAAGGGAAGAATAGAAAATTTCCCAGTTTTTTAGTAATAAGTGGTGAAGGTTTCGTTTTTGGTTAGCAATACTCCATTTTTGGATTGATCTGTCTGTTGTATTTTTTTTCTTTTTTTGTATTTTTTTTTAATCACTTCACCCCAAACAAGGTAATAATGCTACTAAGTTGAAAGTGCTACTGGGAGTGAAAGAGAATGAGAAGACTGTAGAAGGTACCGGAAACCCTGGGCGATAGGCGAAGCTATCTACTCCTATTGAGGAGAAAAATAATTAGTAAATAATATTTCAGAGTTCAGCCGGAGACGCTCGAATTATCGAAATGAAGTTGAGGGAAGCGGAGCCTCAATCCTAAACAGGAAACGAGGGATAAACCTCTACTCCTGTTCAAAAGATCGGGGAGGAGTGTGAACCGGACTTGTAAATCTTGTAAAGATAAAGTATAGCAGAAGTCAGGTACTTTCCGGAATACTAAAATGAGACGACAATTTTTCCACGGATCATTTTAGATTAATTTACTATTCCATTTGAAACGATAGGTTAATATTTGAATATTTAAATTCGAAGGGGGATATATTTAAAAATACAACGTTTATATTGATGTAAAATATCAGGTACACGAGTATTTTTTCTCATATAAAGAATTCCTTAAATATTTGACCCAGGGGGAAAAGGTTAAAACCGTAAAATTTAGCGGAATCATGAGTGTACAAGTAGACACAAGAAATTATTCAAGACTTTTGCATTCAATAAATGATTTATTTATGTCCCATTGATCACTTGAGAATTTGTCTTCTTTCCAGACACAACCCCGTCTTTTATTTTCTTCTCCGTTTCACTGAAAGCCTTTTTTCCAATCGCGAAAGATAGAGACAGATGAAATGCAAAATGTGATTGAAAAAGAGACCCGTTTTCATGTTGAAAGATTAATAAAGTGCTATTCCAATTTGTCACTTCTTCATTTCTTATATCAATGTTTACCAACGATGCGGGAATTAAATAAAGTTCGCTCAGGCAAAGATGGTCGTGACAGAAGCCGTATTTGAATGACGTCTTTAGCTCGAGAATAAATTTAAGAAAAGAAAAGAAAAAAAAAAGAAAAGAAAAAAAGAAAAAGAAAACAAACAATCATTCAAAGTACAAACCTTTAAATTATTTCCCCTTTCTGTCTTTCAGTAGAAAATTTTTGTTTAATTATCAATTCTGATTCTCGTCTGTTAGACTTTATTTATAAAACGCTCTGGTGTCAAGTGGCGTTAGGCACTTCGTTTTTAACTTCTCGAAATAAAGTGTTCTTGCCAACTGGGGACATTCAAACATTCATCCATTTTTTTTTCCAGTCGAACTTCACTTAACTTTTAATTTTCCTTCCTTCCTTTCTTCCTTTCTGCTATCCTAACCTTCGTTTTCTAAGCGATAAAATACAATTTCTCAACAAAAAGAAGTCATCTGACGAGGTGCAAAGGACAACAGCTGTGGTTAGTGTTTAACAGAGACTTACGTGAAACGCTATTGATCGAACTGGAGGCTATTGTGCAAAACAAGGAATTAGTTCTGTGTAAACCGAATTCTGGATTCAACGAACTAGTCGTTGTGAGAAACAATCTAGTGCGACTAAGCGATGCTGCTTCCTTCTTTTGCCGTAAGTTGCAAATAAAGCATTTCTGATGAATACCGCTCAGAGAGCTTTCTGATCGTCCTAAACAGTAATTGAATATCCTAGTGCGAAATACAAATTGAATTTGCAGACCAGCTGATATTGATGAGATCGGCAAACACGGCAAACGGCCATACATCAGAAATTGAGGTTCTCTAATCATCTTAAATGAGGCAATTGTTCGCTCCAGGGCGACGACGTGATGTAGGGATGGGTAGGCCTCGAGAGGAAATATGGTGCGAAACAACTGGGGTCGGTGGAAGAGCCAATTTCGTTAGATGCAATGAAGAAGGAAGAACATTTAGGAAGAAAACGAATATAATATATACATATGTGTACGTGCGCGCGCACACACACGCACACACGCATACATACATACATACATACATACACACACACACACATATATATATATATATATATATATGTTGTGTGTGTGTGTAGAGAGAGAGAGAGAGAGAGAGAGATAACACTAGAATGTGAGTGGACGTGGTTATGAGAATGAATGAAGAGACAAGGAAGGAAGGTGAAAGGGTGAAAAATCAAGGAAGAGCGAACTTTATTTCAGATTGGTGTGAAATGTGTGTGTGTGTGTGTGTGTGTAAAGAGAGTTAAAGAATTTATGATGAAGAAGTAGAAAAAGGAAAAAGAATAGGAAAAGGAAAAGTATAAGAAAAGTAAGAAAATAAGAACGAAAGAAAGATAAGAAGAACTAACACATAAAACAAGAAAAGTAGAAAACACACATAAAAGAAGAAAAACACAGAAAAGAAGAAAACAAGAAGAAACGCATAAAACGATAAAAGAAGAAAAACTCATAAAACAAGAAAACAAGAAGAATCGCATAAAACAATAAAAGAAGAAAAACGCATAAAAAATCAAACAAGAAGAAACGCATAAAACAATAAAAAAAGAAAAACGCATAAAACAATCAAACAAGAAGAGACGCATAAAACAATAAAAGAAGAAAAACACATAAAACAAGAAAAAAAGAAGAAACGCATAAAACAATAAAAGAAGAAAAACGCATAAAACAAGAAAAACAAGAAAACAAAAAACAATAAAAGAAAAAAAACAAAAACAAAAAAAGAAAGAAGAAAAACGCATAAAACAATAAAACAAAAAGAAACGCATAAAACAACAAAAGAAAAAATCGAAAAAAAAAAAGAAAAACGCAAAAAAACAATAAAAAGAAGAAAACGCATAAAACAATAAAAGAAGAAAAACACATAAAACAAGAAAACAAGAAGAAACGCATAAAACAATAAAAGAAGAAAAACACATAAAACAAGAAAACAAGAAGAAACGCATAAAACAATAAAAGAAGAAAAACACATAAAACAAGAAAACAAGAAGAAACGCATAAAACAATAAAAGAAGAAAAAAAAAACAAGAAAACAAGAAAAAACAAGAAGAAAAAACGCAAAAAAAGAAAAAAAGAAGAAAAAAACAATAAATAAAAAAACAAGAAAACAAGAAGAAAAGAAACGCATAAAACAATAAAAGAAAAAAACACATAAAACAAGAAAACAAGAAGAAACGCAATAAAACAATAAAAGAAGAAAACACATAAAACAATAAAAAAAAAAACAAGAAAAAAAAATAAAAAACGTATAAAAGAAAAAAAAGAAAAACACATAAAACAAGAAAACAAGAAGAAACGCATAAAACAATAAAAGAAGAAAAACACATAAAACAAGAAAACAAGAAGAAACGCATAAAACAATAAAAGAAGAAAAACGCATAAAACAAGAAAACAAGAAGAAACGCATAAAACAATAAAAGAAGAAAAACACATAAAACAAGAAAAAGAAGAAAACGCATAAAACAAGAAAAAACAAGGAAGAAACGCATAAAACAATAAAAGAAGAAAAACGCATAAAGCAAGAAAACAGGAAGAAACGCATAAAACAATAAAAGAAGAAAAACGCATAAAACAAGAAAACAAGAAGAAACGCATAAAAACAATAAAAGAAGAAAAACATAAAATCAAGAAAACCAGAAGAAACGCATAAAACAATAAAAGAAGAAAAACACATAAATAGAAAGAAAAAAAATCAGTATAACACAACGAAAAAAACGCTGAGAAAATAAAAGAAAAAATGAGAGAGAAACAATATAAACATCAATGAAAAAGAAAGTAGAGGATAAAATAGAAGAAGAAGAAGAAGAAAAAGAAGAAGAAAGGAAAAGTCATAAAAAAGAACAAAAGGAAGAAAAAGATAAAAATGAAATAGAATATAGTATAAGACGAAGGAAGAAAGGGGAAGAAAAAGAAATCAAACTAGAAAGGGTGAAAGGGAAAACGAAAAAGAGGAAGAAAAAGTAGAGAAATAATTCTATGAAAAATGAATGCAAGTCCGAATAAAGAGAGTAAATATAGAAAAAGAAAAAAAAATTCAAGAAAAGAAAAAGAGAGACGATTAAAAAGCTTATAGAAAATCGGATTAGATGGACACTCGTTGACAATAGTGAGTAATTTCCCAGAAGATCTATTATCCAACCAAATGATAAGGGGATGGTGAAAAGTCGTGGGGAAAAACAAAAAGAAAGTGGTGAGGTAGAAGAAGAATTTAGAGTAGACAGTCGAGTTGGCATAGAGATTGAAAAAGAAACTAAGAATAAACGTCGAAAGAGGATAGGGAGATTGAAGAATTTAGAACATAGTTCAAGTGTAAATGAGAAATGAAAGGAGGAGAAGGGTGCCACCATTACGGGTTATCCGGCATAGGAATAGAAAGAACGTACGGACGAATAAAAAAAATCGAATAAATGCAATAAAATGATTCAAGAAATTAAATTTACAAAAGAAAAACAGAAAAAGTATATTTATTTTTCTTATTGTGTTTGAAACTGAAAAAAGACAAGAAGCGTTTCGATGAAAACATTTGGTTCACCGCAAAAAACATAGCAAATTTGTCTCCCCTTTTCCACCAGCCTTCTTTTTAACATCGATATTTTTTCTTCTTTCTTATATACTGCCGTTTGTTTTTGTTTTTTTAAGCTTTCAGTGAATTCTCGGTCTTTTAGTGTTTCCCTCAATTAAAAAAATATCTTGCTTTACTTACTGACATTTTATAAAGATTTATTTCAATATAAGTGAAAGGGTTTAACCTATTTCCCGTCTGTCCTATTTAGTCCTGGGTATGACGATAAACTACATCCGGCAGCAAAGTCATAAAAAAGAACGAAAGGAAGAAAAAGATAAAAATGAAATAGAAAATAGTATAAGACGAAGGAAGAAAGGGGAAGAAAAAGAAATCAAACTAGAAAGGGTGAAAGGGAAAACGAAAAAGAGGAAGAAAAAGAAAAAAAGAAAATCAGAATAATGAAGGAAGAGAAACAACAGAAAAACAAGGAAAGAAAAACACAAAAGAAAAACGAAAAGAAACGAGGAAAAGAAAAATGGCCGAAGAAAATGATAAAAAAGAAGCGATGGAAATAGAAAAATAAGAAAGACAAAATTGAAGGAAAGAAGATAAACAAACAAAGAAAACGAAGAAATGAGAAAAGAAGAAATAAAAAGGACAGACACAAGAATAAAAATGAAGGAAAAAGAGAAAGAAAAAGAGAAAAAGATTTCACTTAATTCTCGGTCTTTTAATGTTTCCCTCAATTAAAAAAAATCATCTTGCTTTACTTACTGACATTTTATAAAGATTTATTTCAATATAAGTGAAAGGGTTTAACCTATTTCCCTTCTGTCCTATTTAGTCCTGGGTATGACGATAAACTACATCCGGCAGCAAAGCCTCGGTTCAGAAAATTGGAGGTTTTGAAGAGCGTGGAACCCCTTCTTAATTGTTGTTGCTCCCAGGTTCACCCTAACCTGGTGTGGTAACACCTGTTAGGATCTCAGATATGGGCAAATAGTGAAGTCTCATACAAAAACAAAATGCTATGTAAGTATAAAAATACATTTTTATAGTAAAATTACTAACAATACATCAATCAACACAAAAGAACTCTTTCATGACATTAATTCATATAATATTCTACAATTTCTTTAAAAAATCACTGTATTCCAAAATATAGCTTCAACAAATCTACAAATAAAATGCACATATCACTGTCTCTAGTAATTATGTCCTCACAAAAAATGTATATGCACAAAAGCTGAGTATCATCTACCATGTATTCAATTGTGAAAGCAGAATAACATAAATATTTTTATTACTTCAAAACTTCCAAGAAAATTAAATTTCAGCATTAAATGACCCAGAAAGTGTTGATATGCCATTGAACAAATGAATAAAATCTAATTCTGTTCTATCAGTCAACCAAGGAATTTTACTTTTTTTCAGATTTTATGTCAATCACTTATATCAATACACAATTATTATTTCATTATACACTTAATCTTCAAACATTTTCTAATATTTCATTTGCTTATCACTAGATTGGCAGTTAGGTCTCATCATTTGACATTTGAAATTGCTAGAAGTAAGCATATATTCTATGCTAACAGTTTCTTCTTTCGTATTTCTCGCCTCTGGAACATTCTTCAGATTTCTTGTTTTCCTGTCAACTACGATTTTCAAAAAAATTTTCAAATGCAACGTCAATCGTCATCTACTTCCTCCTTAAACTCTGTTTTTTTTATTGTCCTCTCTCCACAATAAAGTTTGTTATCTGATTCTTTCACTAGCTCAATAGCTTTCATTTGTGTCTTAGTGGCTTTATCACCTTGTTCGGGGTTAAATTATGAAAAGCAAAAACGAACAAAAAACTAACTCATCATATATATATATATATATATATATATATATATATATATAATAGTGAATTCGATCCTCATTGTTGCCCCTACTTTCGGCTTTGTGCCACATCTAAGTTACGCTTGGAAAATCACTATATATATATATATATATATATATATATATATATATATATATATATGTACAAATGCACATTTCATTGAATACGGCAGACAAGGTGCTTAAATTTAGTGATTTAGTTTTTTATACAATTTCTCATGTGATCTAATATTTTTTTTTCTTTTCGGTTGATGAATTATATAAAAACTGTCCAAATGTTCTTTTATCCGAGTGCTTTCAGATATACATTTAGCTATTTTCAAGCTTGAAATATATTAACTGTTAACAAGAAATAGTTTGTTGTATGTATGTATTTATATTATATTTTTATTTGAATTATTGAAGATTTTAATTATCATGGAAGCAAGAAAACGGAAGGGAGTCCAATAGGCTGGATGTGCAAGAAAAGAAACTGTTTGAATTGGCAGTTATACTTAACTAATTCGACAATAAAAGGGTGGGACCTAGATGCCAATCTAGTAGCACACTTAAACTCACGTTATCCGGACACCAGGGAAAAATCCCGAAGTGAGTGAAGTCGAGATGCCAAGTCAGGATCGATTACATTGGAAATCCTTCTTTGGATTTTGTCAAGAACCTTGGGATGAGTAGCAGGAACACCTGACCAGATATGCCAACTGTATTCTATGCACGGACGAATGGTAGATTTGTAAATGTGCAAGATGGACGTAAACAACTGTAAATGTGCAAGATGGACGTGAACAACCTTCTGGCACGACAGAGTGACCCTACTTTCCTTGCAGTAGATGCACCTATTGATTCGATGTAGTCGTTCTTCTTGAAGTCAGTTGAAAGCGTGAGGCCGAGAAGGCGCAGCGTGTGTTCACCTTGAGTCTAACATCAGCCATTGATGGTGGACAGGAAAGTTTCTGTATGATGGTTAAATGAGAGCAGTTTCGTTTTGGAGACATTAAAATTTACGAGCCATTTCTTACCTCAGTTACCCACTTATTGGAAGTCTTTTTCAAGAGTAGCGACCAGATTAACTTTGTCAACTCTGACGGATTTGTTATTGAGACGGGAATAGTGTCATCAGCATAAATGCCTACTTGGGAACTGATGACATCAGGAAAATCATTGATGAAGATCAGAAACAGTGTGGGATCCAAGACAGTGCCTTGGAGGACGGACACATTCGTATGAAAGGATCTGAAAGCGAATCCGTTCAAAAGAAACTTTATTTCATGATTTGATAGGAACGATTAGATTAAATCAAACAATCGTCCAATGATACCGAAGCCCTGGAGCTTACGTAGAAGACCAGAGTGCAAACCCTGTCAAACGCCTTCGAGATATCTAGAGCCACAGCTCGAGCTTCGCCGTTATCATCAAGGGTTTCATATACATATCCAGTGATGATCATTAGCACATCGGCGGTAGAACTTCAAAACGAAAGCCATATTGCTTGTCAGAGAGTAGGTCGTGAGAAGTAAGATGCTTAACAACTTCAGCATTGATTAAAGCCTCAAATACTTTGCCGAAAAGCGGTAGAAGTCTAATAGGGCGATGGTTATAGGGGTCAGAAAGTTTTCCAGATTTCTCTAAAACAGGAACTACAGAGGAGGACTTCCAACAAGCTGGAAAGCAGGAAGCTGCGTGGTAATACTTGTAGAGTTCGGAGAGAACTGGAGACTGCTCGGGAGCACATTTTTTAGGACGACGTCTGGTGTCCTGTCACCTCCGCTTGCCTTATGGGAGTCTAAGCTGGAAATAATGTCCGAGACCTGTGATGTCGCTTATGCGTATATCACTCAGTAGAGACTCTGTCCTAGTAAATCAGGTATGAGTATTCCAATTGATCAGAGTGTTGAGTTGGAAGAGAATTTCTGAGCAAACCATTTAAAATTTGGTGTAGATGACAGGGCTTCTAGTAGAGGAGGGATTGAAGATTTCTTGTTGTTCAACACACTCTTGCAGAACCGCCAATAATCTCTAGAATCGAACTTACGAGATGCTATACGTTGTTTCATTCTACCAGCAAACGGTAACTTCGCTTCTTTGAGGACACGCTTACACTCGTTACGAGCAGAGACAAAGAGAGGTCTGTTGCAATCAGACGTGTCGCTCTGGTATAGCCGGAAGAAATGATTCCTGCGGGCTATAGCGGCCGCGCATGCAGATGAGAAACAAGGAGATGAATGTGGTTTAACTTGGTGTTTCCTTGCTGGAATGAAAGCATCGATACCGGCTTTCACTCAGAAGGTGATCTCAGACGCGCATTTATGAACAGGATGATAAGGGACGTCCCGAAGCAATTCACGGAACGAGTCCCAATCCACACTTTGATAACAGGAAGATATTCTGTTGATAGGAGGTTCTTGGCTGGTAGGGAAGCGGAAAGAGATGTTTACAGACACTATCGCATGATCAGAGTTGCCAAGAGGGCAGAGCTACAAAGTACGACATGAGCTTGATATAGAGGTAAAAACGAGATCTAGAAGAGAAACGTGTCCATCAAGGTTACTGGGGAAATGCGTAGGGACGTTCACCTCTTGAATGAAAGATTGAGTGATTGAGAATTTAAGAGACTGGATACCAGTGGGGTCAGTGACAGAGTGTTTATGCCATATATGGCATTGTAGGTATTAAAGTCACCAAACACAACTATATGTGCAGATGGGTGTAGGAAGATGGCCGTGCCTATATTATCAGCATCTAGCACGCAACAATCAAGAGATGAAGGGGAACAGTAAAGAAAGAAGAGATAGCTGATTGAATTAAGTAGAGAGAGACGAAGACACATGTAAAGGTAGTGTGGAGATTCAAGGGAGATTTCCCTAGCCAGCGGGAGATGTTCATGGACATAAACTCCCAGACGTATGCATGTGGACATTAGAATCCTTCCTAAGGAGAGGAAGATAGCCAGGAATCGAGAAATCACAGCAGGTTATTGGAGTGTTAAGATTAGATTCACACAGAGCTAGGATGTCCGGAAACTTATCGAAGAGGAACGATTCCACACTGCAGAAGTTGGCACGAATACAACGAATGTTGGAGAAAGGAATGTTGAGGGGTTTAGGTGATTTTTGTGGAGCAGGTTTAGACTGGTTTTGGTATTTTATAGTCATTGTGTTGTTGTTTTGGTAAGGAAAGGTCTAGGTTAGTAGTAACAGTCGGTCGTCTAATGTAACATGTGCAGGAAGGGAAGAGGCGCAGACTGCAACATAGTGTGGTATCGGGGTTGTCCACCGGAGGTGCTTGCAAGTACGCTCTTCCATGCGCGACATGCTACTCTAAGCAACCCGATATTATGCATGACGCCACGCAAGAGTTCGGGCTTCTAACTACTAGTCGGGAACAATAACCAGAAAACTGCAAACCCGGCACTCTCAATATGAAAAGACGTTACCACCATTCACATATATCACAAAGATTCATGACAGCACCACTATTAAGGCCTGAGAAAAGGAAAGGAACTGGGAACCCCTTTCTAGACAGGAAACAAGGTATGAGCCTCTACTCCTGTTCAAGAGAAGGGGGAAGAGTATGGACCGGGCAATAGGAAAGTTTATCTTTTTATAAATACAGAGTGTCCATAAAGTTTGTGTGCATTTTAAAAAATTATAACTTTATTTGTATTTGCGATAGAAATAATCTGTAAAAGATGTTATAAAGTTTAATGTACCTAGTTTTAAGTATAGCTAAAATAACTAATGTGATTTCAGGCATTACTGTAAATCAGTTGGCAAATGTTTTCCCTGAATTGCAAAATCGTATTACACTTTGTATTGCTAATGATGGAGGACATGTAGAAACTTAAATAAAAATTTCAATAGAACCTTAAAAAATATAGATTTACTTCTTTCTAATCCTTTTTCCAAATAATTTCTATCGCAAATACAAACAAAGTTATAAACTTTTTAAAGTGCACACGATCTTTATGGACACCCTGTATATATATAATAATTATTTTTTAAATTATTTATTCATCGCGACACAGAAATTACCATATTTCGAAACCAAATCCTAAATCTTAAATTAAACTTAAAATTTAGTGACATTTTCAAGCGATGCTCAAAAATTATCCGCAACTTCACCATAACATATTTCTTTAGGTTTAGCACACTGCCTTTTGCTCACGTGTGCTTATTATTAGTACTACTGGGGTCACGTGATCGGATTTCGAGCTTGATTGCGCCAGTTTTCTTGCTGCTGTTACAGTGTAACATGGCCGCTCCGTTATCAGTGTGCACCAAGGAGGAACAAATAACCTGACGCGATCAACAGTTTAAACAACTGATGACTTGTGACTTCGTGCTGCCACAAACATCGACAGCCTCCGAACAGTTCCGTCTACCCAATTTCCTTCACAACGCTTGGGTCAAATCTCATGGTGAGATTCGAACCTGAGTATCATAGTCGGAAACCGAACTTTCTTACCACTCGGCCACGTCAGCATTTACGTAAGTACGAACAAAATTAATTGTCCACATTTTGTCTCTAATTTGAATTAAGTAGAGAGAGACGGAGAAACATGTAAGAGTAGTGTGGAGATTCAAAGCAGAGTTCCCTAGCCAGCGGGAGATGTTCACGGGCATAAACACCCAGACGTATGCATGTGGATATTAGAGTCCTTCCTATTCAAATTAGAGACAATCAGAGCCAGGTTAGGCGGGTATGAGTTCGGCCCCCTACCGAGAGGTACTGCCTGGTGGGTGGTATCTTGGGGCTTGAGTAGATATTGATTTCAATTTCTCCTGCATAAAGATACCAAAGTTTTTGCACCACCTAATACAGCAAATCAACTCACGACCGCCAGACAACTAACTCCACGCTTTCGTCCATGTCGCTATGTGTCCCGTAGAAGGAAATTGAAACAAAAATTTACCAATGAATATTTCAATACGTAAGAAAGAACATTTAGGACCTTTGTGTAAATATTTCTGAAGAATATCGATGATTCATCAAGTGTTTGTTTATCAATTACGATGATATTTGCTTTCTCTTCCCAGCAAATAAATTTTGAACACAAAATCAGAAATGTATTTATTTCAATAGGAATTCCCAAGGCAGAACTCTTGTTCATATTTTCCGATATTGGATCTAAAAGATCAAAGAGACAGATTCATTTGTTTGAATACAAAAGCATTACTTCTGACAATTAACATTTCAATATCGTGACTCCAAATGCAGTCGGGAATCCGTTAGGCATTTTTTTTTTGATCCTGACTATTTAATTTAGTCTTTTCAGCAATAATGAAGGAAAGAATATTTAACGAAAAATAAAAGCAAAGAAGAAGAAAAGAGATTTGATGTAAATAGTTCTGTCTCCGGTTTACTTATAATACATTTTGCTTCAATCAAACAGGATCTGGTAACAGAGAAACCAGTTCATATTTTTACTCTTCTTTAAATTAACTTTACACACAAACAAAAGAAACGCTTGAATTAAGAGATTTTCCAAGCGAAACAGCGCTATGATATATTGTCATGACAGTTTTTCAATCAACATTTTCGCATCATTTCCTTTATAGTTCTTTTTTATTCTGCTTTGATTTTAAATATCTTCTGAACAACACCGAATGGAGGTTTGTGTGCGCAGTAGGCCGTTACGCCTTTGCCCGAGTCGTTGATTAAAGTATAAAAACACAAATATTGCCGTTTTTTAGACTAATGGATAGTGAGTCTGAAATTACAACGACGTTCAAGATTATCTGAAAGATATCTAATAAACGGGACAACAATTATCGTCACTCAGGCGAAACAAATGTTTCATGTTCTTCTGAAGACACTAACAAGAAAGAATAAGCCCAAATATGGACGCATAAAACTGAAAAAATAACCCTGTTTATATTATGCGAAATTAAGAATCAAACATTGTATTTTTTTAATATTTAAAATAAATTGAATGCATTTCATATTAATAAAATTAACTTTTTGACTCAGTCCAAATTTAAATCAACTTTTTTGAGTTCGTATCTGTTTCAAGGTCTTCATATATTTTCGTGCAATAATTCGAATAATTATATAGAAGGAACTAGTGAAATGCTCGGCTGCGCAACAACCCTTCGACCGCAACTCAGTCATGGGACAGATGATGATGATGATAGCTTGGAAACAGTTTTTTTAAACTGCTATCAATAAGCAAATAATAAAGAAAAATGAATATATTTGATTTTATTAATAATCATAAAACCGTTTCTGATTTCGTAATTGTCTGATCACAGTAAAATCAAACAACTTTTAATAATTCAAATAATTATATAATAATATAATAATAATTTTATTATGAAATGGACAAAGTCCGACAATTATTTTAAGACATTTTTATGTCTATACGTTCTTTTTATAGATACAAATATTTAAGTAAATGCTCTGTTTATAATAAACAGTATTAACAAACATTTACCGGCCGAGAAATTTTTATGGGAAATATACGTCCTCCGACAGGAATCGAACCTGTATCCTATACAGGCTATATGACGGTTCCGTATAGGATACAGGTTCGAATCCTGCCGGAGGACGAATATTTTCTATGAAAATTTCTCTGACATTCAGGTCGGTAAATTTTTGTTAATACTGTTTATTATAAACAGAGCATTTACTTAAATATTTGTATCTATAAAAAGAACGTATAAACATAAAAATGTCTTAAAATAATTGTCAGACTTTGTCCATTCCATAACGTGTGACGTTATTTGTTTACATTTGGATACGCCATAAGCAGATATGAATGTACGTGAGAGAATCATGGAAGATTGTAGTTTAAAGACAGTAAAATTGACCTTGCTAACCGAACGCTTCTCTGTGGCCGAAACGGTTAAGGCATGTCGGGCTAAATGACGGTTCCGTATAGGATACAGGTTCGAATCCTGTCGTAGGTCGCATATTTTCTATGAAAATTTCTCGGACATTGAGGCCGGTAAATGTTGTTAATACTGTTTATTGTAATCAGAGCATTTACTTAAATATTTGTATCTATAAAAAGAACGTATAAACATAAAAAGTGTCTTAAAATAATTTTATTGTTATAATAATTCAAATTATAATTAATGCAATTAGTTGTTGGTTTCACAACTGTTTAAGAATAAAAAAAAAACTTAATTCGATTGGTGTAATTAATTCAAATAAAAGTAATTTGGAAATCAATTAACATAAAAAATTACTAAATGATATTTTATTTTAAAGGGATGCTATATAGGAAACTTCTATAATTCCACTCTACGAGTTTTTACTGGTACCATATACCTTATTACTATCTGCCGCATTGTTGTCCCATCGATTATTAAACCGGTTCCCTCACTAGTCTTTTCTGGTGATTAGGATAAATTAAAAATAACTGGCAGGATAAATTAAAAATAACTGTCAAATGGCGGATGAAGCTATTTGTAGAGGTCAACGGACAATGGAATAGAATGGGCGCCATAGATATGGATGCAGCCAGTACGGTGAAAATACGATATTGCAGGCGGGTGGAGCTTCCTAGACGGAAGTCAAAGGCCAAGCAGACCGGTTCCCTCGATGAAATCAACGGCCACGTATCCGTGACCATGGCGAACTTTCAAGTTGGGGGACATCGTCAGTGGCTTGACCTGGAGAAGGATGGGCTTCACCAGGTCTACTTATTCTTATGTAGACAGGAACTAGTCAGATGCTCATTTGCGCAACGACCCAATGGGACAGATGATGATATCTTGGAAACAGATTTCTTTAACTGCATTACTAAGTAAATAATAATCAATAATAAAGAAAAATGAATATATTTGACTTTATTATTAATTGTAAATCTGTTTCCGAGATCGTAATGGTCTGAACACGGTGAAATCAAACAAATCCTCGGTAGGCCGAACTTCCTGGCGTTTCGTGTCTGGACATAACTCTGGTGTCTGGTTATATGCTATTCCAGGCAGAAGCAACCAAATCGTAAAGTGAGTGAGCCAGGATGCGTTTGGTGACTCAAGTCTATTTCTCGGCTCTAATCACCAAATTTCTCATTGAGAACTCTCGTTAAAACTCGTTGCAATATCGAACAAGACTTGTTTGTACGGCAAGGGAAGTATTTTTTCGGCAATATTTCACTGTTGGTTAGTTTTTATATTATTCTTGTGAGTAGTTAAGTAGTCCCGAGGAAAAAAAAGGCTATAAAGTGTTTCCCGTCTATTTACCTACGTAGACTGCAATTTCCTCTCAATCCAACTATCGCATTGATGCAACCGTACGACACACGCCAGAATGCCCCAAGGATTTTCAAACATAACTAAAAGTTAAGTGAAGGGCGACAAAGATTCTATTTCGCGCGTTACTTGGGCAGATTAATGTAGCGTATAGGAAACGATTCACCATTTATTTTGCTGCACTGTCTCGGTGTAAATGTACATTTTTCGTTTTCTTGCGAATATGTTTTTCATGCTATGCACAAAAATAATCCTTTTCGTCATTGTTTTATAGCTGTTGTTGCTAAACTTGGAAATGATGACATTCACAATAACGGCTTTATATTTAAAAAAAAATACAACTGAAGCTGTCTTTACGACCATGTTGTATACGCACATGTATTCATTTTGAAAAATTAAAATGACTTTATACGTTATCACGGATTTTTTCACGGCGTTATGTTTATATGACATATACTTAATATTCTGAATGTATAGTTATTCTTTTTTTTTTTTTTTTGAATTTGATTGAATTTGTTCAAGATTAACAGAGATGCTAGTCAAGGTGGAGTTTACTTTTTTATTCTTTCAACTCGTGGTGTCTTTTGAAATTTCAATTCCTTTAGCGTCACTTCATCCTAACCGAAATGACACTTCGACGTATTGTAATGGTTAGCAAGCTTGTCTCGCTAGATCAATTACGACAGAATTGTGAGTTCGATCCGCACTTGGTGCCTCTTACATTCAGCCTTGTGCCACATCTAAGCTATGTTTAGAAAATCATTTGGCCACCACGATGTGAAGTAATGGTTAGCAAGCTTGTCTCGCAAGATCAGCTACGACTGAGTAGTGAGTTTGATCCGCATACATTCGGCACTGTGTCGCATCTTAGCTACGCTTAGAAAATCCTGGCCAAAATATCTTACATTATTCCTAGATTTCCCATTAAAGATTTGTTTTTCTAAATAATTGTCTTGGTTACGTTTTAGTTCAATCAACTTCAACGTCATATCTTTTTGATGATAACTTCATTGAAATTAATAATTAAATTATTCATTAAAAAAAATTGCTCTACTTTTAGCGTTCATTTCCGCTTCCGTTTTCATTAGCCTCATTTTCACTTACGTTGATTTTATAGCCTTTATTTCCACACAACTTAACACTTCTGTTCATTATGATAATCGTATTTGATTTTTTTTCTTTTGAAAAATTATTGTTTTATTCAACATTATTTCATGTGTTCCGAATATTGTTTGGACAACAGTAAACCCTTTTTTATTTTCGTAAACTTGTTATTCGGTAGTATTATAAAAGCGTATTTACATTCTAGGGCAAATATTTACGGTCACCACCTGAATTTCAAGGAATCTCCTAATTCCCTGTTGCTGACTTGGTCTTTTACCGCTTATCAAGTCTACGTGGGTTATTTAAAGCCGAGACATATTTTGGATTGTAAGAATAATTCATTTTTTTATTGTGAGTAAATACTATTGTTATGAATAATCAAGAGTGGTCTCCCCTTGTTTTGTTACTCTTCTCTTTGAGGGAACTATTTCTGCTTACTGGGACTATAAAAGGACACTATACGCGAACCTTGTATTCTCAGTTGAATAAAACTTTCTTAAAGCCTACACCTGCGTACTTTTGTCATTACAAGTATATTAACAATTAATTTTTTAGAATAACAATGTT